TTAGCTGTTGCTCTACCACTTGAGCCATGCCTCCAGCCCTACATTTTGCTGGTTACTCGAGAGACCAGAGTCTCACAGACTTTTCTTCCCAGCTAACTTTGAATGGCAATATTCTGGGTCTCAGGCTCCTGAGTTGCTAGTACTATAGAGATGAAAAACTAAGCACCGGACTGAGATAACTTTTATTTGGGAGATTTTAGATGAGGTAAAAGGATAAATCCTTAGTTATCTTTTTTGAAATCAAGAATTTAAAAGTACACCTTTTGTTAATTTTTGCTGAATAGGTTTCTGTCTCAAGTAATTGTCAATTCAATGTCATTCAATAATTTATTTCTCTTCTTGAGTTCTTTTGCTTAAGCATTCTAGGATAGCTAGCAAACAAATTTTTTTCCTTAGAGAAATAATTTTAAGGCCATCTCAATCTGTGAGAATCATTTCACAATTTAAGTGTTTCTTAAGAATGTACTTTTAAAATTAGTCACTGAGATATTCTACCATTATATATACTGTGTTAAGAGGAAGTGTTGAAGCAAAGAGGCTCCAGGAACCTTTATAACTCTGGCATTCACTCTTCTGGGAAGTGGTTATTGTCTAAATTGATCTCTGTTGACCTCTAGAATAGGGATCAAGTTCATCTTTCATTTTCATTGTTGTCAAAAGCACTAGTCTCCAAGTAACTTACATTAACAAGTCCAATAAACTATTTTATATGGTACCTTGTTAGATTAGACACATATTTCTATATCTTATTATAATTAAGTCATCGAGTCAAGTAAAAATACCTTAAGATTAATATTTCTCTAGGAATTGCATTAAATTATGTAGCTTTTCTGCTTTATCAAGTATAATTATCAGTAGATTATATGGGTATGTTTAATAAGCTGATGAGATCTGTCCAATCGAATGCTCAGAGGAAATATTACAGTAGTGAATTATTAATCTTTATGAGCCTATTTGATATTGTATGTGCAGCATTGACTATATAAACGTATCTTTTTGGGGGCTGGGAAGGTGGCTCAGTGGTAGAGTGCTTGCCTTGCATGCCTGAGGCCCTGGGTTCAATTCCTCAGCACCACATAAGCAAAAAGAAAAAAGCCGGAAATGGCGCTGTGGCTCAAGTGATAAAGCGCTAGCCTTGAGCTGAAGAGCTGAGGGACAGCGCCCAGGCCCAGAGTTCAGGCCCCATGACCGCCCAAAAAATAAAAATAAAAATAAATAAATGTATCTTTTGGTTGAACACAGTGGTTAAATGTGGTGTGGTAGAATGATTTTGAGCACTCAGCCAATAAGTGGGAGGTATTCTTCTGGGATAAGGTGCAGTGCAACGGTTGTGGAATGATGAACAAGTGCTTGTTTCTCACGCAGGTGCTGCAGTGGCCGGCATTTACAGAGTCGCAGGGAAGAACATGGCCCCTCTGGAAGCATTGGTGTGGGGCGTTGGGCAGACTGTGTTGACATTAATCATCTCCTTTTCAAGGATCCTCGCTACACTTTGAGGTTTCTGAGGAATGTCTCATTTCACGTAAGGAAACATGTACAGATTCCCTGAAAAATGGCATTAATAAGAGGAAATGAAATGGTACAAGTGTGGGCCCAGCAAGTCAGACCACAAGGAAGACCTTGAGCCGTGTGGAAGCCTGCCCTCTGGCGTTCCAGTGATTGCACTACTGCACTGCACCTTACGTGCCTCCCTCCCAGGCAAGGTGCACCAGGACACTTTGTGAAGCCACAAGAAAAGCACCTTGTGCAGCTGCCAATCAGGTTAACCTTGGTGTGGAAATCATCGTTCTCAACAGTGTTAAGTTACAGGAACATTTGGAGAAGTCGACATATGTGCCAAACTTTTTTTTTTTTCTGTTAACATCGATCATGTGACCATTTGTAAGAGTAGATAAGGATGAGTGCTGTGAACATGCTTGACGTGATTGAGGTAACCTAGCAAGATCTCTCTTTTATAAGGCTAAGTCCCATAGGAATGCAAAATAACCAAGTGTTGAATATAAGAGAAACTGGTTTTAATGCTGAGCAGTTCTGGAATTTAGGGTTGTGATGTTTAGTGTTATTCTTATTTAATTTATATGGAAAATAGCAGTCTTTTAAATGGAAGACTGGCTAAACTGTTTTAAGGACTTGAAGTAGATGTGTAGGGTGCGTACTTTTGACTAACTTAACACACTTTTAATAGTTTCCCTCATATATAACATACTATTTATATGAACTCGAAACCTTTTTGGGTCACATACATTGTCATTTGTGTGTCATAAAAACATAATTTGAAAATATTCTTATATATTTTGTAAGAAAAAAGTCTGAAATGCATGTTGCATTCTGTGACCTCCTACACTAAGGTTTTACCTTGTAACTCATGGAGAAAACACCTGGAGAGCTAGTGCTGCCGTGGCATTGAATTACTTCTTGCAGGTACTTTGATTTTTTTTTTTTAACAAAGCAAACAATCTTTTATTCTGGAGTATCAATTGTTTAAAGAATGGCCTAAATTAGGCTCTGGAAATAAAAAGCCTCATTTATAGATAAGAAGTAAGTTATATAGGAAGAATAATAAACTGTCTTATTTTGGATGTGTGGCAGTGTCGTCATTGTGCTAAGTAAAAATTGGGGAAATTAGTGAATAATTGTGAAATTTGGCAGTTAGTTTCAGCATAGCGATACAGTTCAGAGCGTGTCCCTGAGAGATTCATTTCAGTTGTTTAGTTCTTGATTGATGCTGTATGATTTAAGTTTATTTAATGTTATGTTAAGTTTACTAGTGTCGGGAATTACATTTAAAATGGAAATGACCTTTGTATAAAACATTTTAAGAAGTAGGGAAAACGTAGACCCCATTGAATTGAGATTTGTTTGATTAATGTGCTGACTCAAAGGAAGCACCATTGCAGAGAATAAGAAGGTAGGGCCAATCTAAAAACATAATTTTACACACTAGTCTCTTTGCTTAATTGAATTTAAAAAATAAGTTTCTGTTAGATCTCATTCAAATTTGAGTCTCTTGTGACAAACATACACTTTTTTTTTCCTACCCAAAGCAACAGCAGCAACAATAAACATGTATGAACTTACTGAGGAATTGAGGGTAAAGGCAGTATAAGAAGACAAGTTTAGGGACTTACTAACACTGGCATTGAGTGTTTAACAACAACAACAAAGAATGGAACAATAAGCCAACTATGCATTCTTAAAGATCCTAGAAGTAAATCTTGAAGTTGATTCTTATATACATGCTATCATTTCATATATTCTCTATATTTCTGATGTTTTCTCCAATTAAATTTAGGCAGAACTTTTTCTACATCATTTTGATTTCATCTTTTCTGTTAGACTTGAATTGTTATTTGTCTTTTGGCTATTAAAGCATTACATTCTTTCAGAAGAATGACCAATAAGATATTGAAATTGTTTCATAATTACAGAATGAGTATTTATTTTAACATGGTTATTTTAAGAGAGTCTTCATGTAAGAACATGGAGCACATGTTTTATAGTCCAAAATTAACTAGAAAATAACTTGGATACATGAAATATATGAATGAATGGACCAAAGAGATTTTAAATTCCTACTTTTATTGTAGAGTGAAAGAATAATTGAGTGATTAATGGTTTGTAAGTGTCCTGCAAGTAGCTTATTGTCAAGTTGATTTACATTGTGTTTGTGTGTGTGTGTGTGTGTGTGTGTGTGTGTGTGTGTGCGCGTGCGTGTGTATGCATGTGTGTGACCAGTATATGAAGGGGCAGGATATTTTAGTTTCTTTTTTGTTCTCAGTTATTTCTGTTGGGATTTTGTGCAACAGTCACTATGATATTTTTAAGTGTAGTTGAGTAGTGTGAATTTATGAAATTGTCTTATTTATATTCAGATTTTAAAAAGGACGTTTCTTAGAGATAAGACGTGTTTAATGATAAATATATATACTCACATACATACATATTGTAAACATATATAGAGAACTATATATGATACAATATAATTGGAAAACCTTTGCTTAATGAACCTTTGCTTCATAGTCTAGTGGAGAATTTGCTATATTTGTTCAATTGAATGATCATTTAAGTAGATTTGAGGCTGTTTGAGATTTGTGAATCTGGGAGATTTTTTTCTTGATTTTCTTGATTTTTTTTTCTTGGAGACCCTTGTGTGACGCATGACAAAAGCCATTATTTGGCATAGTTGGATTACAGGTTCTTAAAATTTCTATGTGATTCTATAAAATTTCTAGCAGTAAATTTCCTCTGTGACAAGTGGTAGAAGGAAAGGGGAAAATGCTGTACAGTTGACCCTTCTTTATTTCAGAAATGTTTAGTAAAATATCACCGAGAGTGCACTCATTTCCCCAGAGAGGGAATGCCTGTGTACTCAAAGTTATACAGCACCCCGCTTAGAAAGGTCCATAGATTTATATCCCGAGACTTCAGAAAAGCTGCAAAGAAAGCTGAAAACTTTCAGAAGAAGGCAGTTCAACAAACCAGCTCTGCTGGAGGCCCGGTCAGTCCCCTGGTGCCTGGTGAGGGGGTTCCCAGCGTGCCCGGGTCCTGCACTCAGAGCTTGTGTCTTCGTTGTTACCGGGGCACCACACAGCATCAGAGCTCCTCACCTAGTAGACCTTGCTAGCATTACAGCACAAGTTTCCACTGCAACATTTCCAGCCCTCAAGGATTTTGTTTGTATTTTAAGTTAGAGAAATAAAGACATGGATTAGCTTGTATATGTTCCCTCTGTGAGGGAAGGAGAGGGGATAATGTAAAAGCAAAGATTATTGTTGATAAAAGGATTCAGGGAAGCTGTAATTAAGATGGGGTAAGTAGGCCCACCATGCTAGGGTAACCTCGGCTGGCATCCACATGCAAGGAACTGGGTTTTATAAGGCACTCTGTGCAGAGTATTGTCTCTTCTGAGTACAAAGTTGATCATGACAGGGTTCAGCCCTTCCGCTGCCCCCAGCCAGAAGAACATCAAAACCATTCTAGGTGGGCATCTACATCTTCTTTCTGCTCTCCACTTCTGTGATTTTTCCAGTTTATCCACTCGAAATGGCTGAAATGTCACTGCTGTGATTTGTGAACACTGGGCTTCACTGGGCCACTTGCTGCTTGGTCCAAGCAAACAGTTAGTCTCTTGAAGCTTCAGTTCACTACCTGATACCTCCTGTGGCTTTGTGAGGATTCTAGGAGACTACTTTGAAATGGCAATGCATACCTGATATAGACACTGAATACTCAGAATTTTAAAATTACATTTTACAATCCCAATGGAATATTTTGTTTTGTAGGATCTAACCATTTTCTTCCATTTCCTTATTACCTTTCCTCCATAAATTTTAAGACTGAATTTAAAATTTTAAAACTGAAAAACTTACCTCTTACAATCTAACTTCCATCACCTTGTCTCTACCCCTTTATTTTAAAAATCACCAGACCTTTAAGAATGGTAGAGAGCTGTGGGTGATGGGAGAGGCCAGGACAAAGAGGATCTATTTACAGACTCTGGTTACCACTGATTAAACTATGGAAACAGTCAAGAAGGCCAACACTTTCTTCTTGACTGCACCCTATCTGCTTCTCTGATTCACTAAGTATATCCCTGACATTCTACTTTGTGCATGCACACTATTATTCTTGTCTTAGAGGGAAGATACAGCCTTTTCATTTCTCTGCATCCATCTGTCACTCAGGGTACAGGCTGGCAATGTAGATGCAATTCCACAGGAGCACAGCCCTGTGCCCTAAGCCCCTCTTTCTGTGGATCGAGGTTCTTGTTGGCTCCTGATGGTGGTGGTTTTGCATATGGACTGCTTTTGTTTAAACCAAAAAAGAAATACCAATACTTTAAACGTGTGTCCACTTTTATATTTCAGGAAGTAACAGCATAGAAAGTATACCACTGGTTAATATATTAATATTTTTTCAAATGTGTGGTCCCGTTTTGTAGCAGACAGCAGTTTACAGAGAGGAAGAAATGGCGGGGGTAACATACAAAGGATGCATTGACGAAGCCCATTGGTTTAGCACACAACTCCACCCTCCTGTTAAGCCTGCACACTACTCTGAAGAAGGCTGAGCTCTGCATGATTACCTAATGCTCTGCCCCTTTAGATGTGGGATCTTCTGACCACAGCCCATTTGAAATCAGATTTCTTTGGTGTGCACATGTGCTCATGCTTGTGCGCATGTGTGTGTATGGTGGGTTTGCTTTACTAACCCGAGAATTTCTGTTCCATGTAGATATTAAGAGTTTGCTGAGTTTAATTGTCTTGAAACACAGTTATGAATGTATTTGGTATGTGTAGATATACTGGTTCATTCTCTTTTAGATTTCTAAGTGAACTGAGCTATAAACTGTACCCATATGTTGGAGGCTAGGGATCCAGGTTCACCGTCTTTTCATTCAATTACACATCTATTGAGCTTGTATATCCCTTCCTTGGTTTGGGGAACTAGTTTATCAGTTGCTTTAAAATCTTCCCAAACAGAGGTAATACAGTATACTCTAGATGTATGTACAATTGGTTGGTAGAAGCTGAAGTTCTGGTTCCAGTACCTTTGGCTATGAAGCCATTATTGGAAAATAAGTGCAGACACGTTGGAATGAATGGCTTGAAGCTCTGGCTTCATGCTCTGCTGTACCTGGATGTAATATGTCTACCCTTGGTAGATGTCCCGTTTAGCTCTATAATGGAAATTGGAAAGCAGTATGTTTGTAAATATACATGAAAAGAGGAACTAAAACACATGATCAGCTAAATCCATAACCATGCACTTCTTTTTCCTAAATACCTGCTAGGATTTGTCAGAAATCATCACTTTTTAAGAACCCTGTTTAAATGAATACTAGCTTCAGTGTACCATTGATGAAGAACATTTTCCTTCTTAAAAATTTTTTTAGTGTTCTTTTATTGTTGTTATATTTTTTAGCCTGGGTAGCCCAGGTTGACCTCAAATTTGTGATCCTCTTGCTTCAGCTTGATGAGTGCTGGGATTATATAGTGCAACACCACCTGAACTACTTTCTTTTTGTCTCTGTGTGTATGTGGTAATGGGGTTTGAACTCAGGGCTTTGCGCTTGGTAAGCAGTCACTCTACCACTTGAGCCATACCTCCTGCCCCCTACTCCCTTTTTTTAGCATTCATTATTTTTCAGGTAGGATCTCAAGATTTTGCATGGGTCAGTCTCATTCCATGATCCTCCACCTGTGGCCTTCCACAGCAGTGGATCACAGGCATGCTTAATAATTAAGATGGCATCTCACTAATTTGTTCCCCCTAGGCTGGCTTCTAACTGCGGTCTTGATATCTTTCCTAAGTAGCTGGGATTATAGGCATGAGCCATTGTGCCGACCATAGTCCTTTGTAAAATTAAAGTATTTGCATTTAATCGTTAAGTATCTTTGGGGTAGAATATTTTGAAGTTTTTCTCCTTAAGAGGCAACATTGGAAGCACTTGTTTGAATAGTAGTGAAGATGATTTACTTTCAGTACTGGATGAGTTGATGGGCTTACTTGTTGATACTCGCTTGGAGTTTGTGCTATTGAATGGTTTATCCTGGAGGAATTTAAAGACATGATGGGCCTCTCCCCAGAACACACATGCTTTCACGCGTGGGCTCTACACATTTAGATGAGCAGATAGGAATCCCCACGGCATTTTTCATTTCAGAAGCATCCCTTGGCAAAACATGTCTGTGATTCTGCCCTAACAGTCCCTGGATATAGTTTTTCTCTGATGAGAGGTCAACTTTATCTTAGTCAACAACTAGTTAAACTGTCTATTTGTATTATTTACCTGAAAGGTATTAAAAGGCTCACTTTCAAATCTGTTAACTCTCAGTACCCTTTTACCAAGCTAAATGATGCCTTACTGCTTTGAAAGGTGAGATACTTTTGCAGAGTGGATTTAGTGAGATTCAGACATGGTACTGATCAGCTGGCTCTGTGTACCTCCCCTGCGATTAGGAATCCAGAGGCTGGGAAGGTGTCCTTCAAACAGGTCTTAGCTCCTGACTTGTTACGTTCACTGGAAATCAGTTCCTTTGCCCCTGCCTGTGACTGACTGGTTGACGACTTCCATCACCTTTCCCCGCTGTGACATTCTCCTATGTTTTGTTTTTGAAGTAAGTATGAAATAGGGGAGAAAAGTAGTCAATCAAATTCACTGTGGGTTTTAAAGTTTAGTTTTCTTGTGAACTTGACTCTGGCGTGAACTGTGTTTTATATTGTAATATAGAGGTAGACACTTTATGTAACCCTTAGGAATATGTTTACCATCAGGGATTTATTTTTACTCTAGAATTACTAAATGTACTGTGAAGCTTAATGACAGGAAGAGGAAACACTGGAAGCGAATTTTGTGAAGTAACCTGCATTATGTGACATTTCCCCTTCTGTTAAGACTATAAATTACACTGTATGAGTTACCTGTACTGCATGTTTACATAATACAGCTTAATTTTGAAGGATTATTTAAAAAGACTATGTTTATATAAAACGCCTAACAAACTGTATATATTGTAAATGATTGATTTTTAATTTTATATAAGCAATTTTTTATTTCCCAATTCATGTACAAATCTCATTGTGTATATAGAATAATTTCCTGGAGATCACAGATTTTTGCAGTGAATTTTAAGTATTTTAATTGCAGTAAGTATCAGGTTAGCCCTTAGAGATGTTGTTCCTTTCCCTTAAATTATTTTTCACCACTCATTTTCTTCAAAGGGCAGCAATAAACATATGCAAGTTATTTTTTTTTTGACTGTAGAAAATTCATCTACAAAGACAAAACCTAGATTCCAGTTCATTGCTTTAAATTAAGGAAAGATGCACAACTTCTACAGCATCTGCACACAGGACCATTTCTGGGTCCGCAAGTGGCTCTCTCCTCTTTGTAATATACAGGGTGAACTCTACTCCCCCCACAAAACATCAACTCCACGTGAATCCAGCCCTGAAGTATCATTACAGAATTTATTGGATTAAAAGTTTGTAACATACAGTATTTTAATAAAGTTTCTGTATTCAATTTCATGCACTTAGATATAAATAAACCTGTCTTCAAAAGCTTTCTGGAGTATTTGACTCTCAGTGACTTCTCAGCTCATTCACCACGGAATCACTTTTTCTAGCCACTTTTGCCTGTGGATTTTGGAGGTAGTGTGGAAAAGGTAAGCAGCACGTTTACTTACGAGACTTGCTGTTTTAAGAGGTGGTGTGCGGTCACGAGAGGCAATGCCTCTTCCCCGTTCTGGAGTGGTTAGGGTGTGGCAGCTACTTCTGTATGATGAAGGTGCAGAGAAAGTACAAAACTTCTCCAGGTTACACAGTGACCTGCTTAGTTGGGGGGTTCCTGCTCTGTTACTTGTATCCTCCCCTCCCCAACTAGGTTGTGTTGATTTGAACGATCAAATGTAAGCATAACTTAGATTTTTTGATAGGGAGTTCTGATGGAAGAGTTGGGCACCCTCTCGGGCTCAGCAGCACCCTGCCTCTGGAGATGAGGAACAGCTGGCCGGCACTGCCAGTGTCCCCCGCCTGTGGGAATACGCCTAGCAGCATCATGCTGCCGTGCAAGTGGCAGTTCTCACAGCCACATATTTTTGTCCATTGCCAAACTGAAGCGTATTTTCTTGTTCTCTAAATAACTTCTCTATTTCAACATAAGAATTATAAAATTACTAAATGCATTTCCTTCCCAACCATAAATGTTTAAAATTCTTGGACACAATGCAAGAGAGTGTTCTAGTTGGATTTGTTATAGTTGGCTTGTAAAGTAATAGTTTTGTAATGGGAAAACTATCCAGGTATTTTCATCCTTGTGGAGAATTATGACAAGGCATTAATCTTCAGATTCATTGCCTCCTACCCCTTAGAGGACCTGAGGGAAAGGTAATGTGAAAAGAAGACTAAGCCTTAGGGTGATGAACAAGGCCTGGCTAGACTTGTGCAGGCATGGAGAGAGAAAGTTACTTTGCAGACAAGAGGGGCTGCTATATTCAGGTCCAGAGCTTCTGGCTTTCAAAGCACTAAAGATTGACGGTTCATTCCATCAGAGTCTTAATAGGAGCCCTTATTTTAAGTTTAAAAGACAAACCCTGATGTTGGCAGTACTCAGCATGTTATTCAGGCAAGAAATCATGTCAGTCTCCAACATTTACTTATTTGCTTGTTTATTATTTTATTTATTGCTATTTCTTGGACTAGTACTCAGAACCTCTGTTTCTCTCTCTGTCTCTCGCTGTCTCTCTCTCTGTCTCTGTCTCTCTGTCCCCCCCCACTCTCTCTCTCTCTCTCTCTCTCTCTCTCTCTCTCTCTCTCTCTCTCTCTCTCTCTCTCTCTCTCGGCTGGCAGTTTTCCCCTTGAGCCACAGTGCCACTTCAATCTTTTACTGTTAATTGGAGATAAGAACCTCATGAAATTTCCTGCTTGGGCTGTTTATGAATCCTGATCATGAGATCGTAGCCTCCTAAGGAGCTAAAATTACAGGCTTAGGTCATGAGTTGTTAATTTTATAGTCTCCAGGATCAAGTTCTGGGGACTTGTGGCAGTGGTCTACCAGCAATGCCTTAGTTTGGCCACTAGATGGTGGAATTGTTCCATTTTTCCACTTGGTTTTCTCTGGCCATTAGTTCTTATTGAGAACTGTCTGTACTTTGACGATAATTCCCTCCCATACATTACACTTAAAGTTATTTTTCCCCCAAAAGATATATGATTTAACATAAGCAAAGATTTCTCTCACTTATTTTACTAAAGGATTGTTTGCATGTCAGAAACAATTGTATGATTTTGGTATTGCGTATTTTCCTTACATTGCAACTCATGATGCAAAATGAAGTTTTATCTCATTGAATACTATACAATTTTTTTTTTTTGTCCGGTCATGGGGCCTGAACTCTGGGCCTGGGCACTGTCCCTCAGCTCTTCAGCTCAAGGCAAGCGCTCTACCACTTGAGCCACAGCGCCACTTCCCGGCTTTTTTGTTTTTTGCTTATGTGGTGCTGAGGAATCGAACCCAGGGCCCCAGGCATGCAAGGCAAGCGCTTTAACCACTGAGCCACCTTCCCAGCCCACTATACAATTTTTTTGACAGCTACGTAGAGGTCACCCTTCAGGCTAAAGGGGATTATATCAGATATAACACAATTAGCTTTGTTGTATTAGAAGAACTAGTTTTAAATTTCTGCTCTGTCATGGTGTAACTCAACACGATCAAGTTGTTTACTTTCTAGGACTCTCAGTAAAATGGGAAAAGCACCTTGTGTTGCAGGTAGTGAATGATCAGAAATTTTATGTGGCTTATCGGCCTGTCCCATGTATTGTCTGCATGAAATGAAGGGGGTGATGGGGTGCTAGAATTTGCTACAAGTGTGAATAGCAAGCACAACTATCTGTTTCAAAGTCAGAGCCAGTTTGTGGGTCCAAGTAGACATGGTGCATTCTGGGAGAGGATCTGTTTCAAATTGAAACTATCTCATTGTGTGTGGTGCTGCTTGTGCAACACAGGCTGCTCAGGTTTATTTTAGAAGCCTACATCAGCAGGAAGGAACCTGGTTCGAAAGCGCAATGCATAAACTTGCACAGCTAGCAAATTCCTTGCATTCTCTAAACCACCAAATATATCCCAATGAAGTCAAAGCGGCTGCCATAGGGAGCTCTTCCTGAGGGGTGCTAGGACTCACCCTACTGTCCTCAGCCTGCTTGCATCCTGTTAAACATGAACACTCTGCTTGCTTTATTGTTTCCCAGAAGAAAGCTGCAGCTCCCACTTAGAGAAGAAGGGCTGGTCTTTTCAGGTCCAGAGCTGATGTCAGACACACCAGTGATGTTCCACAGTGTGCTCCATAGCAGCCAATCTCTCATGGCCTTCAATTGAGGGACTGAACTTGAGAGTGGAGGACCAACTACATCTTCATCAAACTACCCTGATTCTGTTGATTACTGTTGGTGGGAATTGGGGTCTGTGAGTGAGCCCAGAATGCAAGACAAAAAGTGTTAGGGTCACCTTTGATGTAGAGATAGATAGCGGGGTGGAGACAAGTATAATTTTGACACTCGTATTTTGAAGGCCCAATGTCTACCACCTGCATGGGGAGGTGTGCCAAGGGGTCAGGCCCAGGTTTCACTTAGTATCTCAGCCAATTTCTTCTCTAATAAACATGGAAGTAGATTAGTTCCTCACATCTTCTCCAGAGTACACTTTGGCACTTCCCAAGGGCCAGTATCTGCAATGGGTCTGTTACTCTTGGACTTCCCAAGGCGGGGACCAGTCTGGTAACAGGAGTTTGATACCACCTCCTTCGTGCCTTAAACTTTAGACCCATCTGTTTCTCAGTTGAACTTGTTAAACCTGGCAGGGATGGAGGGGGGCAGAGGGAGTTGGCAAAGAGAATGAAGAAGGATGAAAATTTCAGATGTAAGCAATTGTGTGTGTGTGTGTGTGTGTGTGTGTAGGAAATATAAAATCTGTTCAATCAGTAGAGTACCATTGTTTGGATGTTCACACCCAGTTTTTACTCTGAAGCCACTTTCACATCTGCCATCTTATTTTATTGTCTTCTTGTTTGGAGAGAAAGGAACACATTTGCTTTTTGGGGGTGGTGAGGAGGGAACCCAGGGTCTTATACATGTTTAGGCAAAAGCAGTATACCACTGAGCTTCATCTCCAGCTCAAATGTTTTCCCCCACCCCTTTTTCTGTCTGCAAGTCACTTACTTATTTAAACAAAGGTCTTTCACAAGAGCTGGTCGGTTGTTTGAACCAATGTCAATTCTGAGAGCAGATCTTCCATGGCCACCACAGCCTGAGCTCAGGTGACCCCTGGCAGCCTAGTGGGCTCCTCCCTCTGAACACAGATCACTTCCAGAATAATTGGGGACATGCCACAAAGGCATTGGCTTCAGGCCAGAGGATCCCAATGTTTATCTACAGGACACAGTTGGGGTGGGCTCACCTGCCTTCTCCATCATAAGAATGATATGCCAGTGACTAACTGCTCCTATTGATAACCATGCTCCATGTTGAATTAAAGTGGTCAAGATGAGCTAAGCAGATTGTTTCTTTCCTAAATAAAAACAGTATGATTTTCAGACTCCTGGCTCATCATCTGTTCTGTGCACACTAACAAACATCGGGCGGGAAAACGTTGCCATGTCAAAGCTAGACCTTAAAGTCTTCCTGGAGATTTGGAGTCCAAAATGGGTGCGGGAAGAAAAGGGTCTTTTGTGTGTGTGTGTGTGAAAGTAAAGGCATCTTTCTGTCACCTCACAAGAAGAATGAGGGGTTTGAGGGATGGGGGCCACAGGTTTGATGGCTGTGATAGAAAAAGTGAACATGACACTGTCCAACTCCAGAATCAGGACCAAGTGAAAACACATCTACACATGATGTTGGGCATGTCTTTGTGGTATCCAGACTTTACTGAAAAATGATTAAAAGGCTGAATTGAACTTTAGATGACAATGGTGTCCATGGGTCAAGACCAGCTGAATAGCATGTCAGGCCCACAGCAAAGATACAACAGGTTGAGGTAACTATCATCCCTAGGAATTCTTGCTTGACTTTGAAATTGCTAGCACTTTAATTATATTGCCTTCTGTTTTGAAATGTTTGTCTCAAGTATGTGTCCATAAACTTTGACTACAATCTGTATTTCTAGAAGGGGACAGAGGTGGTCAGAGACTTCTTTATTTGTAATATACATGGAAAAGCAAGATGAAAAGTTCCCTTTTTAAAGGAACTGTCCCCAAAGTGAACACAAGAAATGCCTGAAATCAGTTCTGTTGTGAAATTAGGGCTCTTTCCTAAGCTGAAAGCCAGTAAGAATTGGCTTCCTAGGATATATCTGTTCAATATCTTTAATTCTGAAAGTACCAAATATTAATTTGAGGAAAGTATCAAATCATTTTGATAGGACTGCAGGTCTATCATATATACTTCAAGGAATATTTTGATTATTTTAATCCAAAATACTCTTGCTTTCAACACTTATAATTTGGTGAGGTAAGGGACTATTTCTTTTTCTTGCTACTATTCCCCAACCCTCCCAATTTGTAAGCCACAGGAGACACGGGTCAGAGTAAATAACACTTGCCAAGGGCGTTCTGCAGGCTTTCTAGGAAAAGGCTCTTGAAGGAAAGTATTCTCCAACCACCACACTTTGATAAAACTGGCCTCTGTATTCCTGTCTTAGTCTCACTAAGAACATACATATTAAAGCTTTGGAAAGCTCTGAGTTAAGTACTGATGTGGTTTTGTTTAAATTTCTATGAAATCTCTGAAAAAAATCTCAACAGCCATAAGAATTTCCGCTAGTTCATTCTGTAATTATATGGGAAAGCATTTGCAAGTATGTATATATATATATGCATATATATATGTATCTTTATTGTAAAGGTGATGAACAAGGGCACAGTGACATAAGTAAGGTAATGAGTACATTTATTTTTAAACACTATCACCCCTCCCCATTCTGTCCTGCTTACCCCTCCCCTGCAAGTTGTAAAGTTCATTTCCAACATAGTGTCTAATGAGTGTCATTAATGCATTCGTTCATCCTTTGTCCTGCTCTTTCTGTGAGTCCCTTTCCCTACCATGGATCAGATAAACTTACATACAAGACAAAGGCTACAGAAAACTTAAAACAGAAAAAAGTAACTGCACACAGGATATAAGAACCTCTTGTTTCTAATTCTTGGAATTCATTTTGATACACTTCATTATATATGGTCCTATGCCCCTAGCATTTGGGCTATAGTTAAGAATATCATAGACATATTCTAGTTCTTACAAATGAGGGAAATCATGCAAACTACTTTTCTATGGGCCTGGCTTGCTTTGCTTAATATAATTTTTCCAGGTCTTTCCATTTCCTTATGGATGGCACAATGTCATTTGCAAGTGTATTTTTTTTTTTGCCCATCCTGGGGCTTGAACTCAGGGCTTGGGCTCTTATCTCTGAGCTTCTTCTGCTCAAGGCTAGCACTCTGCCACTTGAGTCATAGTGCCATTTTTGGCTTTTTCTGTGTATGTGGTACTGAGGAGTCGGACACGGGGCTTCATGTATGCTAGGCAAAAACTCTATCACTAAGCTCTTGCAAGTGTGTGTTTAAAGTTCAGCTGATGTCCCCAGCCCACAGCCCTAAACCTAAATCAAAATCCTAAAGCTAACCCAGGACTTTGAGGTCCTAAACAGCGGTCCTAAACAGTGTTTCTAGCCCCTTCTGCCCAGCCTGTGTTTTCTGGCCCTTCAGTTTCTGCATTATCATTCCCACCCCCCAGACTCCAGGACCTTTCAGGATGTTGTTTGTGGCAAACCTCTGCTGGACTTTGCTCACTTGCATGTGTCCGAGCCAAATCCTGTGGCTGGTACTCTATTCATGCAGGGGCTTAATTGCCTGTGAATAAAGCACCCTCACAAGACCCAAAGTGGCCCCTGCAAATGTGAGGTGCAGAGAAGATGCCACATCTTCATTCATGACAACATAGTTAAGACAGGGATGAGTTTCCTAAGGCAGAAGCGACAGCCAATGGCGAAAACAGCACACAGGGAGAGCCACAGACACCGAGCGTGGGTGTGCATGTGTGGATTGAGCTGCAGACGAGGAAGGCATGGCTGGAGAAATGGAGGAGGGTGGGTCGCAGAGGTGAACAGGCACTGTATAGCAAGAGCCCAGAGTGCCAGGAGAATGAATTTGAATTTTCTCTTGCAAATAGAAGAAAAGTGTATCCCCATTGGACATACGAGAGGAGGTAAGGAAGGGGGGCTGTCTTAGTCTGTGTTCTGTGGCTATCACAAATTATCCGAGTCTAAGTCGTTTAGAAAGAACAGAAGTTTATTTGGCTCTGGCAGCTGGAAGTCATCAGCGTGTGGCTGATGTCTAGTGAGGACCCCATATCTACATGGTGTTGGGTGTCACAGGGTGAGAACCAGCCCAAGGGACTTGTCAGCCCAACTTCCTTCCTCTTCTCCTAGGCCACAGTGCCCCACGGCCTCTCACCCAGTCCTGATGCACCCCACAGGCCCTGCTTCCCAAAGAATCATATATGAATTTATGGCGACTGAGATTCCAACACATGAGCTTTTGGGGTACACATTGCAAGTCTAGCAGGCGTTTAACATTATTTTAATATCTGCTTTGTAGGCATCACCAGGCAAGATGAAGAATCCTTAATCTAAGTGCACCTTTACCCTTTGCTGCTTACTATAGATGACTTGTGTGTGTGTGTGTGTGTGTGTGTGTGTGTGTGTGTTTCTTGGAACTAAACCCAGGGCCTTGTGAATGCTACGCACACTCTACCTGTGAAACTACAATTCCAGCCTTTTCTTTCCATTTTGTGTTTGAGGCAGGGTCTTGCTGCCTTTCATTCAAACTGGCCTCCTCCGCCCTCTCCCTCTAGAGCAGCTGGGATACAGGCGTAAGTTAGCACCTCTTGATCACAGTACTTGCACTCTTTGCACCAGGCTTCCTCAGGATGAGATGGTCTCAAAAGCTACCTCAGCCAGTTGTCCTGAGCTAACCAATCACAAGCTTGGAAAGGAACTCAACAGCGGCACTGCTGTTCTTAATGGAGCTGGGAGTGTGGAGAGGGATGTTCTTACAGGATTGTAACTTCTGTTGCCCCGTTGCTTTGGTTGCTATGGAGACCAAACCCTCCCTGGGCAGAAGCAGCCACCTGGGCTGGCCCTGGATTTATGACACTGAAACTCAATCTGCCCATTTACTAACTCTACAAAAAAGCAGGTCAGAAGGAGGTGAAACCGATTGACTTCTGCCTGTTATTTCTGGCCTAGAGCTCTGACATGAAAATCCCCCTTTGTAGCCTTTTTCTTTTTTTTCTCCTTTTTAAAGTTAGTTAATGGGGGGAGGGAATCCCTGATGGGAATTCTCTACCATGTCTTTCATTTGGACATTACGTGGGGCCAAAGGTGTTACAAATCAGTAAAAGTAAATTCATAAAACCTGACAGCTTCTTGGAACTGTCAGACACAAGTAATAATTACAAGTCAAAAATGTGTTTATGTGCCTGGTTCTATAGTTTTTTCCTTATCCCATCCCTTATGGAATAAAGTCTTGCTCACTCTGGATGGAAGGCAGGTGCCACGGGGCCCCTTCTCGTGTGACTGTTTCTTTATCCTGTGTCACCTTGGGTTTCTGACCTCTGAACTGTCAACACTCACATGCCTGCCACCACCTGGATGAAGAGAGGGGCCTGCACCTGGGAGAAGTTGAGGCAGGGAAGGGGGGGGGACAGAACCCATTGGAGGGGAGACAGAATGTTGGGGTAAAGTCTCAGAGGAAAGGAGAAAAGAAGGGGAAGTGTCACTCTGATAGGATATCTCTTCCAATGTCATGGATCAAAAGGAGGCTGGCCCAGGGTGGCTGAGGACAGCGGGTGACATCTACCTGCCTAGCTGCATGGCATTCCTAGAACATGGCTGTGCAAAGAGTGCCGTTTTCCCTGCCCTGGCCCAAACAAGAGCTGTGAATGTTTGGTTGAAGAAGCTATTGGCTTCCACAAGCCTGGTGAGTGTGCATTCCCATATACATCCAGAGACACATTTTCACTCCGGTGCTGTCAGAAGCTCAGCCCCTGCGGACATCTTCGAAGGCCGTGGTTACCGCTGGTGCTGCCCTCCTGAAGAGCCACAGTTTCCCTGGCTCAGCTCTTCCTCACCAAGTGGCTGAGACAGGGCCATCAGAATGTCTCCTGGATTCACCAAAGCCTGGACAGGCTTTAAGCGCTAAGCAATCAACTACCAATTTCTACGTCAGTGAATGGTTAATGGAGAAATAATGTGTTCTTAGTTTACATTGGTGAGAAGGTTCTCCACGAATTATTTCTAGCAAATAAAATATAATTTTTTGTTTGATTAGAAACATTAAACAGCTGGGAGCTACACTAGATTTGAGGGGATACGTGCTAGCCCTCAGTTAGGTAGTGCAGATTCGGTCATAGGGTTGGATCAAGGGTAAATTCCTGGAGATGGCAATATAGTTGTATATGAGGGTGTCCTTATTCACAGGCCCGGTTCAGCACACAAAGGAATCATGTATGTAACTTGCTCTCCATAGTCTAGGAAGATAAAAAGCTCTATCATCTATCTATCTATCTATCTATCTATTTTTGTCTATGTATCTATCCACATCTATTATCTTTCTGCAATCCATCTGGCTATCAAGGTATCTGTCTCTGTGTGTGTCTGTTATCTGTATATCTATCTGTCTGTCTATCTAATGTATCATTTATCTATGTCTATCTATAATCTATGTATCTGTGTCTGTTGTTGGTCTATAATTCATCCATCTGTCTCTCTGTCCATCTGTCTATCTATCTGATGTCCATGTATCTATACAAAAATGGTAAGTCTCCTGGGAAGTCAGAATGCTCGGTAGAGGGCCAGCTTACTACATGGGGATTTTAATTTAAACAAATCAATCACTCATTTCAAATGGAAATAATGTTTACATATTAACACTGTCTAGCATGCTTGTTAACATAGTTTCCAATTTTAGCAGCATGTATATTAGTTGTACAGCTCTCATTGTGCTGTTTCCATGCTTGTACACAATAGAACCTGACCAAGCCCATCCATCTCCTCCATCTCCTCCATCCCCCCTTCCCTCTTCCTCCTTCTCAGAACAACTTCAACAGTTCTGTTCTACTTGTCTACGTGTGTGTCCACCTGCCATGTGGACAGGACACCCTCCCACTGATACCCACCCTCACACAAAACCTGTTTTACCTTCCTGCCATTCATTTTGAAAAAGAGCACATGCTGCCTGTGATATTTTTCTTTCTGAGTCTGGCTTATTTCACTGAGCGTGATGATTTTGGTTCCATCCATTTTTCCTGAAGACGACATATTCTGTCAGAATACTTTATCCATCCATCCACAGCTGGGCTGTGTCTCTAATGCTGGCGTGTGCATGCACTGTGCTGTAACTGGATCAGGACAACCAATATTGTGATGAGAACACTTACAAATGACTCTTCCCTTGGGCTGGGAAGGTGGCTCAATGGTAGAGCGCTTGCCTTGCATGCATGAGGCCCTGGGTTCGATTCCTCAGCATCACATAAGCAGAAAAAAAAGCCAGAAGTGGTGCTGTGGCTCAAGTGGTAGAGTGCTAGTCTTGAGCTGAAGAGCTGAGGGACAGTGCCCAGGCCCAGAGTTCAGGCCCCATGACTGGACTGCCCCCCCTCCCCCCCAAAAAAAATGACGCTTCCAGTACATGAGCCATGGATATGAAGCATAGCCACCACATGGCTTGGTAGAGCATTAACTTACTCCTTCTGTAGGACTGAGGCTTTATGGATTTTGACCAGTGCCTTCCCAATCTCCCCTTGCTTTAACCCTTGAGGCGTTGGTGATCACCATTCTTTCCTTCTGTTCATTATTTCCTAAACTTCATAGGAATGAGATCACAGAGGAATTCACATCTGTACCTGGTTTATTTCACTTCACAGGACATCCTCCAAGTTCAATCCTGTTGTTGCACACAACAGGGTTTCTTTCCTTTTTAAGGCAGCATAGTATTTCATTACATACAGCTACCACATTGTATGCATTTGTCTGTCAGAGATCACTCAGATTGTCACTAGACATACTTTTTCTTTGGCAGTACTGGAGTTTAGACTTGGGGACGTACCTTCTTCCTAGGAGGGTGGCTACCACTGGAGACAAGCCCTCTGCTCTTTTTTGCTTTGTTTCATTTCTTCCAAATGGGGTCTGGTGTTTTTGCTATGGTTGGTCTCGGATCATGATCCTCCTACCTTTCTTTGGCCCCCTGGAATGACAGATACATGCTACCACATTTGGCCTGTCACTTGAGATGAGGTCTTGCTAGCTTTTTGTATGGACTGTTTTCATGACGTATTCATAACACTTGTACTGACATACCAAATTCAACCCAACTTTACTCTGGCTCCTCTAAGCCCTCCTTTAATAGTCTTCAACATTGTCCCTATCCTTGACCTACCTAGCCCAATCTTAGCAAAAGATCCTGCTAAGACAGTTTAGCAAGAATTTCCTACCCTGATGTTTTCTTTCTCAGTCATCTCCCGTTCATGGTCCTTCCCTCTTCTAGTTGACTATGAACTTTTGGTTTTCTTCCTGCAATGCTCTGGAATATATATATATATGTTCAAATAAATGACATGTTAAGTTCTGAAACAGTGACTGGAATTGGCCCTGATGAGAATCTAGAAGACAGAACAGTAGGTAAGCTTTGGGCTGTGTGATACTGTGATCAGAATGCCTCCTAAAGGCCCCTATGCTAAAGATTTCTTCCCCAACATAGCAAACAACATCAAAAGAAAGCCCATGGATTGGGAGAAGATCTACACTAGCCACATGGTCAAGGGTCTCGTATCTAAAATATACTTAGAACTCAAAAAATTAAATCCCCAGGTGGACCCATTGCAACAATGAGATGTACAAGTCGTTATGTCGAAAACGAACTTTACAACTTTGGTGCAGGGGGGGCGGGGAAAGTGGGGAGGATTGGGTGGAGGGGCGTGGGGGGGGGGGGAGGATGGGAAGGGATGGGAAGGGGAAACAAAGGAGGAGGCTACAATGCTTGATAAGAAATGTACTCATTATCTTGGCCATGTAATTGTAACCCCTCTGTACAGTATTTTCACAATAAAAAAAAATTAAATCCCCCAACAACAAATCCTCAAAGAAACAACTGCCCCATAAATAAGTGGGCTAAAGACTTACAGAGAAACTTCTCTGAAGAGGAAAGGAGGATGGCCAATTGACACATGAAGAAATACTCAATCTCTCTAGCCATAAAAGAAATGCAAAACAACATTGAGATACCACCTCACCCCAGTTAGAATGGCTATAATCAAGAACTCTAATAACAACAGATGCTGGAGGGGATGTGGCCAAAAGGGAACCTTACTGCATTGTTGGTGGGAAGGAAAACTTGTTTAACCACCCAGGAAAGCAGTATGGAGGTTCCTTAAAAGATTCCACATAGAGCTCCCCTATGACCCACCAATCCCACTTTTAGGCATTTACCCAAATGATCATAACAAGGCCATACTAACACTACCAGCACAACTATGTTTATCGTAGCATTATTCACCATAGCTAAGATGTAGAACCAACCCAGATGCCCCTCAGTAGATGAATGGATCAAGAAAATGTGATATATATATATATATATATATATATATACGTATATATATATATATATATATATATATATATATATATATATATATATATAATGGAATTC